TTTGATAAAAGGAGACCCAGCAGCATCTTTGCCAATCATCAGCTATTCTCTTACTTCATATTCACCTTATATAGCAGAACTTCTGATAGACTCCAATGTAGAGCTTATAGCAAAGAATGACTTGCGCTTTATAGATGCTGTTTATAAGGTATTTTGATGTTTAGAAAAATAATTATTTTAGAAATGAGTCATTGAGGGAAATGAAATATATATATATATATATATCTCACACAAAACCAGCAATTTTTTCATGTTTCTCTCAGTAAATGTAATCTCTTGAAATCAGCATGCACTTCAAGTTTGGAAATGTTTATACCTTTTAAATATGGCAACTGATAAATATTTGCAATTGGATAATACTTGTTCCCTTTTTAAAAATAAAATTTTAGTAAATTGGTAAAGTTTGATACAGCAGTTGAAATGAGAAAGAAATGTGATTTTACTGATTAAGTTGGTAATGAGTTAATTATAAGAAGTAACTAAAACTTTTACTGAGATTGAGGTCTGAGACCATGTCTTAAAATGTGTTTACTGTGTTGTTTGTACTTGTTTATATGTATAGTGAATGCAATTAGTCTCGTACTTGACTACAAAAGAATGCTATTTTTATTGTTAATGCTTAGTCATATAAGTATTAAGCTTAAAACAAAAATGAAACCCATTTTTCACATCTAATCTTTAAAATAAGAGAGTTGCTTTGTCTCTAATGCTCAGAAACCTGCTACATGGAAGTCTCAGGCATTCTGAAAAAAATCCCAAGGTTCTGCAGAATCTATTTTGAAAACTACAGATTTAGTCTTCTCATTTTGATTCTCAATTGAGAAATTGAGAGGCAAAGGTCAGCCAATTATTTTAAAATGTTACGTTGTGGATGATTTATAACCAAATAGAATTCTAGTTTTCTCTTGTAACTGATACAGTATTTATTTCCGAGTGAGTTAGGAGTTTCTCTAGTACTTGTGGAGATGTTTGAACTTTTTGATGATTAACCTAAGTGAGACCTGAGATGGCTAGAACATGGAGGAAGTGCCTGGGTTTTTAGGTCTTAAAAGTTTCCATCTTTCAAGAAAGCAAAAACATTTTCATCACTCATTTTAGTGGAAAGCACATTATTTTCCTTCTCTGACAGGTTTCTATCTTATATAAGCTTCCATTTTTTTTTGTAGATTTTAGAGCATATTTTATATACTTTTCAATAATCTTCTATTCTTTGGAAGATCTTTGAAAAGAAAAAAAAAAACACAGATGATTAAGACTCATAATGACTCAATAGGACATAGTAGAACTTCCCCATAGAGTTACCAAGGTTGTAAGTCTTTGTATAAACAGATTGCCTAGTCTTTCTCTTTTGAGCAGTTGGTAGGTTTGCACCACTGACTTTTTAGTTAGTCGCAAAGCACGTTAACCATTATACCACCAGGTATAATAGGGATCAGGCACATTCCTAGCTACCTATTTTTCTACTGGCAGTTCTCCTGGTCCGACTCGTAATGTCTCCAAGAATCCCTTTAGTACATTCTAGTTAAAAGCTTTATCCTTTTCTTCTCAAATATGGCATTGACTAGGTTGTTATTGTTATTTGCTGTCGAGTCGCTTGTGACTCATAGCGACCCTATGTACAACAGCCCTAAACCCTGCTCTGTCCTGTGCCAATCTCACTATCTCTGACACTCTCATCCCAATTACCCCAGTCACTGAATCAATCCACCTCATAGAGGGCCTTCCCCTTCTGTGCTGTCCCTCCACCCTCCCAAGCAGGATGTCCCTCTCCAAGGACCTGTCCCTCCTTACAACATGTCCATAGTATGTCAGATGAAGCCACAGAATCCTTGCCTCCAAGGAGCAGCCTGGTTTAACCCTTTCCAGGATGAATCTTTTTGTTTTCTTAGCAGTCCATGGTACCCTCAATACTCTTCTCCAGCACCGCAGCTCAAAGGCATCAATTCTCCTTCTACCCTCCCTAGTCATTGTCCAACTCTGATGCATAACAAGTGATAGCAAAGACCATGGCCTGTGTCAGATGCACCTTAGTCTCCAGAGTGACACCATTAGTTGCTGGAAAAGATAGTTGTTATTAGGCATTGCTGAGTTGACTGCTACTGATAGTGACCCTATGAACAACAGATATGAATCTTTCCTGTCCTGTGCCATCTTTACCATCCCTGATATAATCAAGCCCATTGCAGCAGCCACTACCTATTGATCCATCTTGTTGAGCGTCCTCTTCACTTTCCACCTTTCCAAACATCAAAAACCCTCAGCAAGATGGATTGACACACTGACTATAATGATGAGCTTGAGCATGTCTGTGATCATGGCAGTGACTCCGGGGAGAGCAAAGATTTGATCTAGTCATAGAGTTGCTTTGAGTTATAGTCTAGTTGATGGTACCTAAGGACGACAGCAATGATAATTGTTTATAATTTTGGATTTAAGAAAGAAGTTACATATATTATTATATCTGTTATAAAATTACGAGAATCTGTTCCCTTTTTACAGCTTCTTCGTGATCAATTTAATTATAAGCCAATTTTGACAAAAAAGCAGTTTCTCCAGTGTGGGTTTGCAGAATGGAAAATACAAATTATTTGTGATATTTTGAATTGTGTAATGAAAAAGCACAAGGAATTGAGTAGCCTTGAAAAGGTAATTTTATGGATGTATTGTAATACTAAATATTTATGATGAGTGGCCTACTATTTTAATCTATAAAAGTAAAAATACCCTACAAAAAAATTAATGTGTAACGTTATTCCCAGACTTGAGTAAACTGGAAAAGCTTGAGGGCATTAAACACCAGTCGCTTGTTGCTACATTTCTCTGACTCGAAGGTGCTAGTTCTAAATTAAGAGTTCAAACATAATGTATTTTAGAAAATTTCTTAGTTTTCAAAAGCCATGCATTTAATTTCCATGTTGAGTTCTTACTTGATAGATGTGTTTTGTGTATGAACATTTAAATGATAGTTGAATTCAATGTGTATCCTTCTTTCACGCAAACTATTACTTTTAATACTCTTATTAATATATTTTTTAGACTCCCTTACAACAAAGAAAGAAAACTACTTGTAGTAAGTCAGAGCCTTTGGGAAATGAGAAAACATCTACAGAATCTGTTGGCCTTGATGTTTCTTCAAGGTTTGTGACTTCTGGAAAGGTAAAGGAAAAAAGATCTATATCTTGTCGTAAGTGTGATTGGCCTAGTTAATTCAATATACAAACTTTGCTATGGCATCTGTAATTTTTCCCCCCCTAAAAACATTCCTAAAGTCATATGAAGGAGGTTGTCATTTGTCATTGTGTATTGCTGAGTGAGAAGCAACTTATAGTTGAACTTCTAGTGGGTTTTCAGAGAGGAATTGCATGGGGGAAGATTGTCCATCCTTCTCTTGTGGAGTAGCTGGTGTATTTGAACCGCATATCTTTAGGACTGCAGTGCAGTTTCTTACCACTAGCCTCTCTGGTGGCCTTGAAGGAGGGTAGATAAGTGAAACTGAACTGACTTTTTCATCTTATTTTCTGTTCTTACTTCTGTCTCACTTTGGAAACAGAACAGTGGCTCTTAGGAAGGTTAGGCTAAGCAGTCATTTACATTTGCTGTTAATAGCATCTGAGCTTTGTAATAGATTAGAACTCATGAGGAGCTCACCATGGAAGTAGAATACATGATTGGCTCATGTAAATTTGTACCTCTGTAGACAGGTGTTTAATTTATGTGGTGATAGATAATGCCCCTCCTGCGCTGTCCCTCCACCCTCCCAAGCATGACGTCCCACTCCAAGACTGGTCCCTCCTTGCAAAATACCCAAAGTATGTCAGATGAAGCATCAGAATCCTTGCCATCAAGGAGCAGCCTGGTATCACCCTTTCCAGGATGAACCTGTTTGTTCTTTTAGCTGTCCATAGTATATTCAGTACTCTTCTCCAACACCACAGCTCAAAGGCATCAATTCTCATTCTATCATCCCTTTTCCAGCTCTCTGATGTATAATAAATGATTGCAAAGGCCATGGCCTGTATCAGGCACATTGTAGTCTTTAGACTGACATTGTTGCTTGGGAGGATGGAGGGCAAGCTCAGGAGAGGAAGACCCTCAATGAGATGAACTGATTTAGTGAGTGGATAATGGGGGTATGTGTGTCAGAGACAATAAGATTGGCACAGGATAAAGCAGTGCTTAGGGCTGTTGTACATGGGGTCACTATGAGTCATAGACAACTCAATGGCATATAACAACAAGAAGATAATGCCTAAATAATCTGAGTTTAAGTTCATGTTTTGAATGTTTTCTCTTTTTATTGATCATCTGTGTCTTCCTTCTGTTATGTCCTGTGGAAGTGAAGGATGGAACCAAATTTTCTGAGGTGGAAGATCACAAAGGAGAAGATTGTCTTTCTCCTGCAGAGTAACCTTTCGCTAGTGGTGCAGCTCTTATGGCCTATGCCTATAGAGCTTGCGCAATTAGAGAAAAAGTCTGAATACTTTCTAGCAAAATTAAAATATAATAATTGTTTATTCCTTAATTGAAAGTGTATGTTGTACTTAATTGAAATATGAATTTTTTTTTTTAAGCCTACAGCACCCGGTATTCCTTTTTTTTTTTTTAGAATTTAAATATGAATTCAATTAGCTAAATAGACATTTCAGTTTTTTTACTCTATTTCAGTTGGGCGGGTATCCTGTAGGTATCCTAACTGTTCTACCAATGGAGACTGAAAATTTCAAGACACTTGACTTGATTTTATTACTTTAGAACAGAGAAGGTAGTTTTCATTTTAAACTTTTTTTATAGTTTGAATGAAAACTTACAAAGCAGATTGGTAATCCATTCAACCATTTATTTTTTTTAT